GGGTGGGGCTTACCAAAGTGGGCGAGGCATTGTCTACAGTAAATGGGGACTGAAAGAAGCTTTATCTGCAGAAACACTATGATGAATTTGTTGAACTATGAATAATAAGAGGTCACTTCATTAGTTTAGTGCTGTACTTTCACAATAATCTCTAAAAGTGTAGAGGTTTTGAGCTCTGCTGCAGCCTCTGTTCTTTATGGTTCGAGGGATCCAATTGTAGAGTAATATAATTATATAATAATGAAAATTTATATGAATGGATACATTTTATACACACACACACACACACACACACACACACACTCAGACATATATATGCTGTGTATATATATATATATATACACACACACACATATAGTATATAGTGCATAGTGATTCAGTGCTGACAGAATTCATTGTATTCAGTTATATCTATAATAACAACTTATTATTTTATAAATTTTTCTAAAATTGTTTTATATTACATTTTTTATAAAATTGTATTTCAATTTTATACTACAAGATATATAACAGTTGGTGAACTGTTACGACTCTGTGTTCACTATAGCGGCCATCTTTCCTCAAGTGAGTCCAACATCACAGCAGTAGATGATTGAATGAATCTCATGAACCCCCCCCCCCCCCAAAAGAAAAAGAAAAAGAAAAGAAATTATATTTTAGTAAATGAAAATAAAGCCTGTTTTAAGAATTTTAGCATTGTGACCCACACCATCATTGACAGTAATTATTATTGTCGTAAGTGATGTTTCTGATTAGATTTTTTTTACTCGACTTTTTACTGGACTACTGTAAGAAAAAATCATAAATGAAAGACTGTACAATCAATAATACCAACTTTACAGATTTCAATCATTTTTTAAATTTCCAAAATTCTTTAAAAAAATTCAATTGTAAAGATTATTTCTTCAAATTACAGTAATGTGCTTTATTAATTAATATTCTAAAAATAGATTTCATTTAAACATGTAATTCATTTATTATTATTTATATTAAATATAAATGATATTTATTTTCCTTTTTATTTTGGGGTTAAGTATTAGCCAGATTTGCCCTTGAAAGTTTGTCATGTGATTCACCAAATTTTTATTGTCATGAGAGAGCAATGTTATTTTAGTATTTTATATATTTTCATATATTTTATTAATTACTTGGTGTATTTCTTAGTATATTTTAATATTGTATATGTTTAATATTTTATGCTATTTTATTGATATACAATTATAGTATTTATTAATATTTAGAATGTGTATATTTTATACTTTTATAGTATTTTAGCGGCTACACTTTATTTTACAGTACGTGTACTTGCAGTGTACTTACCCAAGAAAGTACCGGGTAGTATAAGGCAACATGGGTTAAGTTTAGGTTTAGGGGTAGGTTCAGGGTTAGCACCTTGTTATTACCCAGTTATTGTAATTGCTATAATAAGTACATAGTATGTACATGCGGAACAGGACTGTAAAATAAAGTGCTACCATTTTAGCTTTACTTCAATGAATGAAAAACTATTTCTAATCATTTTAATTTGAGTTAACCATTACAACGCTATGAGAGAGAGACTGTCTGTGTAACATTGTGATGTGCGTGTATCAGGTCTTCCCCCGGAGGCTGGTGTCATTCTCGCAGTAGATCGACCGCACACATTGGGCTCGTAACACTTGGGCCATGGCTGCCATATTTGTTCTGACCATGGCTGAGGTGGCTGATATGGTGAGATAAGACACATTTCACCTCTTTCCAAATTATTATTACTGACTGTGTAAATCATTCTTTGCTCTGGCATGTTTTTATGACGTCATGCAGCTTGACTATTGCATTTTTCATGTATCATTTTTTAAAATCAGACTTTTAAAGATGCAGTGCCATGAACCTCGCAAACAGAAGTCTCGGCATGACGCTCGAGTCACTGGGTAACGGCGGATGTGCCGAGAACCCCAAACACTACGGATACATATCGGTGCTGTCACTCGTGGCAACCGTCATGCTCAGCCATGTGGTCAAGCTGGCGCTCATGCTGTTGGTTACCATAGCAACAGGTGCTGTAAACATCCACAGCTGGATGTACATTTACGACATCTATGATTTCGTTCGCTACCTGGACTACAGGTGAGACAAGCTTGAGTTTGAGTCCAGACGATATGTTTGAAAAGTGATCAAAATACAGTAAAAACATCATGTAAAATATTATTACAATTTTAAATAACTGTTGAATGTATTTTAAAATGCAATTTATTTTTGTGATGCAAGCATCATTACTCCAGTCTTCAGTGTCACATGATCCTTCAGAAATCACACTCTAATATGCTGGTTTGCTGCTCAAGAAACATTTCTGATTATGATCAGCAAACAGTTTTCATAAATTTTTTTTTTTGACATTGACTTTGACATGACATGTCATGACTTATTTATATTATTTTTCACCCAGCTAAATTGGATTGTGTGTTTAATGATTAAAATGCAAGGTTAAGTTGTGCTTCAAACCACTCAAAAACATTGTCTGACACCTGAAATTGATTTTCATTATTTTGTATGACTCTTCAGTTATTCAGTGGTTCCCACCAGATATCTGCTGACCATGATGATTATCATCATGATGATGAGTTTCTACTATTTTGCATGTCACGTATGTCCAGCAATAGCTTAAAAACTCAAGTTTATTTTGTTTTTCACAAATATTAGCATGTGAATTCTGTATTTTGTTCCTCTCTCATGTGGAAAGACAGTCACATAAACTGTTTCTTTGGAAGATTGAGGTTCATGATCACAAGGAGAAAGTGTATGAAATGAGAACATACAACGAGGCGCTGGTCACTAACATGCTTCCTGAACACGTGGCCAAACACTTCCTGGGCTCAAAGAAGAGAGATGAGGTATGTGTAGAAGCTAGTTTCTGCCACGGAATAACAATTTTAACCTTATTCCTCAGAATTGTGAGTTTATATCTGTTTTAATCTTATCTTAAATCTCGCAATTCTGCCTTTTTTTTCTTGAAATTTAGTTTACATCTCGTAATTTTAACCTTTTTCTCGAAATTCAAAATGTCAATCTCGCAATTTTGACTCTTTTTCTCTGAATTCTAAGTTTACATATTTGTAATTCTGTTTTTCTTTTATTGCAAGTTTATATCAGTTTATAACTTTTCTTATATCCCATGCTTCTGACTTTTGTGTACATCTCGCATTTTTAAGTTTTTTCTCTTAAATCAAAGTTTAAATCTCGCAATTTTGGCTTTTTTCCTTGGAATTCAGATTTTTTTGTTTCGGCCACAGAATAATAAATGAAAAAAGGTCATTGCAACTTTTTGTCTCACAATTCTGACTTTTTTTCTTGCAATTGCGATTTTATATCTTACAATCCACAGGCTTTTCACAATTGCAATTATAAGATAGAAAGTTATAATGACCTTTTCTCTATATTCCTGTCAGAGTAATCTATATATTAGTTTAGTCATTAATAAATGTGCACATTAATTTTTATTTGTCTATTGCAGGAACATTACAGTCAGTCTTATGATGAGATTGGTGTGATGTTCGCCTCTATTCCCAACTTCTCTGACTTTTATACGGATGAGAGTTAAACAATGGAGGGATAGAATGCCTCCGAATCCTAAATGAGATCATCTCTGACTTTGACAGTGTGAGTATCTCTTGTCCTTTATTTCTTGTATATGTCATTATTTGTTCAGCAGAAGTTCTCTTTAATATCATATGATGTGTTTTTTGATTCCGAGTAGTTTCTGGATCGCACAGAGTTTCGCCACATTACGAAAATCAAGACCATTGGCAGCACATACATGGCTGCGTCAGGCGTGACGCCGGAGAGCAACACTAACAGATACGCCGACCGCAAGGTCAGCTACACAACACAAACTAGAGCTTATAATACACTAATATAGACTGTGTTACTGATGATGATGATGATGATGATGATTTGCGTGTTATATAGACAGAGGATCAGTCCATCTTGGAGCACTGGCAACACTTTGCTGATTTGGCAGACTTTGTACTGGCTATGAAAGTCACACTTGGAAACCTAAACAAACAGTCATTCAATAACTTCACGCTGCGCATAGGTCAGCAAGCGTCTGACTGAACTACAGACCCATGTTACTTCTGCTGATATAATAATAGAGTTGTGTTATATTTATGGTATTGTGACCATGCTGTTTGTGTGTGTTTTATTGTCAGGTCTGAATAAGGGGGGTGTGATAGCTGGAGTGATTGGCGCTCGCAAACCTCATTTTGATATTTGGGGAAACACTGTAAATGTGGGCAATCGTATGGAGTCCACTGGGTTTATGGGTAACATACAGGTGATAAAAGCTTCGTTTTTTTTTAGAAGTTTATATTTATTTTATTTTTAAAAGTAAGTTTGAGGTAATAAAAAAGTTATTTAAAAAATAACTGGCCAATATGGCAAAAAAATGATCTTATCTTAGTATTTTAATATTTTTAATATCAGTCATTTCCATTTTCAATATTAAGCCTTTTTGACAAACATTTGCATGTTTTCCACACATCTCACATTTATTTAATTTTTTCTCTGAATTGTGAGTTTACATCATGCAATTCTGATGTTTTAGTTTGTCACAGAATTTTTTTTAAAAGTAATTGTGACCTTTTATCTCACAATTCATACTTTTCTTCTCAGAATTTCAAGTTTATGTATCACAATTCTGAGTTCATAGCTTGCCATTCTTTTTGTGAGTGATACAGACATCTTCTGGTGCTGGTGCTCCCCAGGTGGTGGAGAACTGCTATAACATCCTGAAGGAGTATGGCTTCCATTTCGTCAGGACCCATCTATGTAAATGGAAAAGGAGAACTGCTCACTTTCTTCATGAAGGGCAAGGACGAACCTGTCGCAAAGACGACTGCAGTCTTTCTCCCACATCAAATAGCAGACAAATCCTGAGAAGAGAGGATAAGAAGGACATTGTCTCTGACTTTTATACGGATGAGAGTTAAACAATGGAGGGATAGAATGCCTCCGAATCCTAAATGAGATCATCTCTGACTTTGACAGTGTGAGTATCTCTTGTCCTTTATTTCTTGTATATGTCATTATTTGTTCAGCAGAAGTTCTCTTTAATATCATATGATGTGTTTTTTGATTCCGAGTAGTTTCTGGATCGCACAGAGTTTCGCCACATTACGAAAATCAAGACCATTGGCAGCACATACATGGCTGCGTCAGGCGTGACGCCGGAGAGCAACACTAACAGATACGCCGACCGCAAGGTCAGCTACACAACACAAACTAGAGCTTATAATACACTAATATAGACTGTGTTACTGATGATGATGATGATGATGATTTGCGTGTTATATAGACAGAGGATCAGTCCATCTTGGAGCACTGGCAACACTTTGCTGATTTGGCAGACTTTGTACTGGCTATGAAAGTCACACTTGGAAACCTAAACAAACAGTCATTCAATAACTTCACGCTGCGCATAGGTCAGCAAGCGTCTGACTGAACTACAGACCCATGTTACTTCTGCTGATATAATAATAGAGTTGTGTTATATTTATGGTATTGTGACCATGCTGTTTGTGTGTGTTTTATTGTCAGGTCTGAATAAGGGGGGTGTGATAGCTGGAGTGATTGGCGCTCGCAAACCTCATTTTGATATTTGGGGAAACACTGTAAATGTGGGCAATCGTATGGAGTCCACTGGGTTTATGGGTAACATACAGGTGATAAAAGCTTCGTTTTTTTTTAGAAGTTTATATTTATTTTATTTTTAAAAGTAAGTTTGAGGTAATAAAAAAGTTATTTAAAAAATAACTGGCCAATATGGCAAAAAAATGATCTTATCTTAGTATTTTAATATTTTTAATATCAGTCATTTCCATTTTCAATATTAAGCCTTTTTGACAAACATTTGCATGTTTTCCACACATCTCACATTTATTTAATTTTTTCTCTGAATTGTGAGTTTACATCATGCAATTCTGATGTTTTAGTTTGTCACAGAATTTTTTTTAAAAGTAATTGTGACCTTTTATCTCACAATTCATACTTTTCTTCTCAGAATTTCAAGTTTATGTATCACAATTCTGAGTTCATAGCTTGCCATTCTTTTTGTGAGTGATACAGACATCTTCTGGTGCTGGTGCTCCCCAGGTGGTGGAGAACTGCTATAACATCCTGAAGGAGTATGGCTTCCATTTCGTCAGGACCCATCTATGTAAATGGAAAAGGAGAACTGCTCACTTTCTTCATGAAGGGCAAGGACGAACCTGTCGCAAAGACGACTGCAGTCTTTCTCAAATAGCAGACAAATCCTGAGAAGAGAGGATAAGAAGGACATTGACATTTTATTTTATGTTATTTTGGGCCTTTTTTATTAATAGAAACAATGGAAAGGGGACAAAGAGGAGACACAAACCTGATTAGTCTCCCTAATGAGCACTGAAGCTCAACATGTCTGCAGCACATGCACTACCCAATAGACAATAACTCTGAAAAATTACCCATTAAAAACAACAGCCAAAGGTTGTATTACCTGAAAAATGTCTATTGTTTGTTGTATTTTAAAAGCACATGTTCCATCATTGAGACAGATCAAAAATACACCATCTGGTCTATTGAGTTTTGCTTTGTACACTTTCACTCAGTACAAAATGCTGATAAAGAACGTATGCGTCCACAGAAGGATCAGGTTACAGTAAACTATGAATTGTTATTTGTAATTATGGAAAATGTTAGCACATAAAAAATAAAGCACGTAAAAAGTATAACATAGACCATTATGGAAATTCTGTAATTGTGGACAAACACACAATCAGGAGCTAAAAACTCAAATACTAGTCAGTAAGGGGTCAAATAGTCAGATCAAAGGCACATACATCTTTTCAACAGAACATGAAAAATGTATATCATTCATTATTTTAATTCTATAATGAAAGCATCAACAGAAGGCAGAGTTTTTATTCTATATTTTTATTTCACGTATAGCTTTAACCGAGAATATCACACTGAGACCTTATCTCAAGTTTTTTAACGAATGGCATTTTAATAGTTAAACATCTCCTGGTCTGTATCTCAATCCCAGCAGGCAGTCTGATGTTTTAATACTTTTTTATAAACTCTTTTTATAAACACTTCACTCATGACATTCAGTTTGTTTCATGTGAAACTCATGGTTATAGATCAGATTATTATTGATTATATTAGCTCTCAGAATTTTTTTTGTAGATTGCGGATTTAGCAGCTCTTTCTGCGGTTCTCAGTGTTTTATTGTTTGACAGAATGAGAAATATGATTTAAAGAGTTAAAAAGATACATTAAACAGCCAAACTTTAATAGCTTCTTGTTGAATTTTAATAATCAATAACAGACCTTAGTAGGGTAGCAGTACTACCTAGAAAAGTAATGTTTAAAATGTAAAAAAAGACAAGATGATAGATAGCTAGTCAGACAGACAATGCTATTGCACGATGTACGAAGCACAGATGCTATTGCATTTTTAGTTGTAATGTTTTAATGAGTTTACTTATTTTGCTTTATATATATATATAAAATTGCTTAATAACAGCCAGTTTGAAGGTTTTGGGGACATATCCTAATAACAATGACGAATTAATAATAGAGGATCTATGACTTCTGGAAGCACGTCTTTCAGGAGCTTACATGGAATAGTGTCTAACATACTGTACATGTTGTTGGTTTAGATGATTTAACATGTTTATATAACTCTTCCTCTGCTATAGTGGAGAATGAGTGGAATTGTTCCTCAGGGGACCTATAGCACACTATCTGATGTGATACTGTAGCTGACGGTTGCATGGTTACAATTTTATCTCTAATAGTATCGATCTTGGAAGTAAACTAGTTCATAAAGTCATTACTGCTGTGCTGTTGGGAAATGTCAACGCCTGTTGATGCTTTATTTTTCGTTAATTTAACCACTGTATTGAATAAATACCTGGGGTTATGTTTGTTTTCCTTAATCTTACTTAAGCGTAAAGGAGCAACCGTATCTAAAATGCTACAAAAGAGCGAGTCCATAGTTTCTGTCACATCATCAAGGTGTTCTGAGGTATTGGAAATGCTAAGGAATTGAGATAAAACTCTCTCTCTCTCTTTCTCTCTTTTGCAATCATAGCATGACGTAATTCTGTCAGACCCTGCATTCAAAACACTTTCTAGAAACCTTCACCTGTCTGTAGCATCCCAGTCACTGCCATCATTTTCATACGCATGTTTGAGCTCGTCTGTTTTTCAGTTTTATAACCTAAAAATATATTTTCTTAAATGTTAAATTCTGAATATAAGACCGCTATATGCCATAATAAATCAATATGACACACATAAGAGTACTGATATCAGTTGCGATGTGGCCGAGTGATGCAGGTAATTACATACAAAATCCCCCTGAACCCCTTCAGCAGTGATTATTTTCATTATATAGCAAGGCATTAGTGTGTTAATGCTTTAATGAAACAGGTAATACATATGTTAGGGACACACAAGTTGATAGTTGCCCTTTTAACATTCTTTTTCATGTCAGATGGGATGCAAGCAGTACTTGAGACGCTAGCTGTTGATATAGCAATTAGAAACAATCAAGCTTTAGTTATTGTTTTCGCTAAAGGTCAAATAAATGAGAAGTGTTGAATGCACTGTGATGCATTGCTCATGTTTGTGAGGTCTCTCTGTCTCTTTCCAGTCAGACGGTGGATTTGTTAATGCAGGAATCTGGCTGTAGACTGGAGCATCCATCAGCCACAAAATTCCGGAACCACGTCATGGAAGGCGAATGGGACAAGGTGAGCTTATGTAATGAGCCACGTGTTATATGTAATGTCATGATTTTGAGTCAGAAGTTATCGGGAGAGATGGTCACTTTTATCCTGGTTTGGTCAAAGTTGACACTATTTTCATGCCCAATGCTTTCTTAATTACATTACTTTTACATTTCTTTTGTTTTGCGTGATGCATCAGTGCATAGTAAAGAAAATGTTTGTCTTCATAACTTTTCATCAAAATCAGAGTCTACGTTTTTTGGCAGATTTTTCAACCATGTTTCAATTTTTATGAGAAGTCTTTTCATTTTTTTTAAAGTTTGAAGTTAGACCAGATTTAGTTTTAGATAGTTTTAATCATAATCATTTTTTATTATTTGTTGTTGATATTTATGTTCTTTTTCTATTTTTCACTTGTCTCTAAGCTGTGGTAGCTGGAATGGTGCTAAATATAATGATAATAAACAAACAAAACTGTTTTTCACCAGTCCAGTCATTTCCTAGCGGATAAAGTGGCTACTTTTTCCTCATTAAATCTCTTTCAGTGGGGGAAATATTTATTTGATCCCCTGCTGATTTTGTAAGTTTGCCCACTTTCAAAGAAATGAAGGGTCTGCAATTTTTATGGTAGGTTTATTTTAACGGATAGTGACAATACCAACCAAAAAATCCAGAAAAAAAACGTTATATAAAGGTTAGAAATTGATTTGCATTTCAGTGAGTGAAATAAGTATTTGATCCCCAAGCAAAACATGACATAGTACTTGGTGCAGAAACCCTTGAGGTAAGACGTTTTTTGTAGTTGGTCACCAGGTTTGCACACACCTCTGGAGGGATTTTGATCCACTCCTCTTTACAGATCCTCTCTAAATCCTTAAGGTTTCTTGGCTGTCGTTCGGCAACTGGAAGTTTCAGCTCCCTCCACAGATTTTCTATAGGATTGAGGTCTGGAGACTGGCTAGGCCATGACCTTAATGTGCTTCTTCTTGAGCCACTCCTTTGTTGCCTTGGTGGTATGTTTCGGGTCATTGTCATGCTTGAAGACCCATCCATGACCCATCTTCAGTGTTCTGGCTGAGGGAAGGAGGTTCTCGTCCAAGATTTTACAGTACATGGCCCCATCCATTTGCCCCTCAATGCGGTGAAGTTATCCTGTACCCTTAGCAGAAAAACAGCCCCAAAGCATAAGGTTTCCACTAGGGATGTTCATTTTGGTTATTTTTCCTAATGGACAACCGACACTCGTTAACCGATTATTAACTGTTAACCAACAAGATTATTTTAAATTAGAAAGGATAAGTGTCTGTAACCCGTTAAATATACTAACATTTGTTTCCCGGGGATTAATTAAATGTATTTAAATTTAAATGCGCAAAAAGCAGCATACAACAGAACATAAGGATTCACATGGTCTTCATATCACATCACGCACCTGCAGCGCTTCTGCGAGTGGAGAAAAACATAATAAAGCTATGGCTATATATAAATACAGTGGTGTGAAAAAGTGTTGGCCCCTTCCTGATTTCTTATTTTTTTGTATGTTTGTCACACTTTAATGTTTCAGATCATCAAACAAATTTAAATATTAGTAAAAGATAACACAAGTGAACACAACATGCAGTTTTTAAAATGAAGGTTTTTATTATCAAGAAAAAACTAAATCCAAAACTACATGGCCCTGTGTGAACCTAATAACTGGTTGGGCCACCCTTAGCAGCAACAACTGCAATCAAGCGTTTGCGATAACTTGCAATGCATCTGTTACAGCGCTGTGGAGGAATAAATGGCTTTATAATCTTTTCCAGACTGATCTCAGTTACTTTCTTTCTCATTTGTTTCTGAATTTCTTTGGATCTCGGCATGATGTCTACTTCACTTTGTCAGGCAGGTCGTATTTAAGAGATTTCTTGATTGCAAACAGGTGTGGCGGTAATCAGGCCTGGGTGTGGCTAGAGAAATTGAACTCAGGTGTGATAAACCACAGTTTTAACAGGGGGGCAAACACTTCTTCACACAGGGCCATGTAGTTTGGATTTAGTTTTCCCTTAATAAAAACCTTCTTTTAAAAACTGCATGTTGTGTTTACTTGTTATTTTTGACTAATATTTAAATGTTTGATGATCTGAAACATTTAAGTGTGACAAACATGCAAAAAAATAAGAAATCAGGAAGGGGGCCAACACTTTCACACCACTGTATGTATATATAACAAATCAATAGGCCTATACGAGAAATATATCGTTACTTAAATAATAAATTAAGAAAATGAAAGAAAAACTGTAACAAGTAGCCTAGTATGCAGAGTTTCGGTTCTTTTTTGTGCTGCGCGAAAGAAAACCAGATGGCAGAAAATGGCATCCTATTTTTCTTTAGGCTTATTTTACAAAAGCACAAAGATTTGTTTTTATTGTGAATGTACACAAATAAAGGCAAACCTTTTACAATTCCGATTATCTTTGACTAAAAGGAGTAGGCTAGTTGTTTCCACTGTTAGAAGGAAAAAATTCAAGTGATTGCGCCGGTGTGCTGACAAATAATGTTACCTATCAGATTATGCTACCAACACTGTATTTATCCTACTGTAAGGGTAGGTTTAGGGTTGGGGTAGGTGTACATTAATAAAGCCTCACACCTCATTAATATCATGCTGGAAGCAAAATCTGATAGGTAGCACTTTTCGCTATCGAATTATGCTACCATCTGTTTTAATGGGAGGTAGCAAAATCTGATTGCTACCTTGACAATGCAGCCTGTTCATTATCATAATAAAATACAGTCAGTCAAACATATGGGGAAAAAACACACGGCTCAGTTTAAATATGTAGTCAAATCTGTGCTGTTAAGTTTTATCACCGTACCGTCATGATGTTATACAAAACATTTTGTTTTACGTGGATATTGGAACGCAAGTGAAGTAGGCTACATAATAAATAATAATTTGCCATTCAAATACATCGTGAATACAGAAACATTTGATTTTATTTATTTTTTAATTCTTGTTTTACTGTTAATTGAAAGGATTTGTTGTGGAGTGAGGGGAACTAAAATAGCCTAGCTATGTTTATAGTGTTTATTATAATGTTTGTAAACATTTTGCGTAGGCATTATATAAAATGTGACTTATAGGCTACGCGACGTTTTTTTTGTTCTCTAAAAAACACTTCTTTTTTTTTATACGTGTAGGGTATTTTAACCATGCAGCAAATCTTTTTAAACATTTTTAAAAATTACTGGAAAAAATAAATAAATGACTTTTTAAACCGTTTAACTGATTGTATTAATCGGTCAAAATTCTATATGGTCGGTTAACGGTTAACTGGTTAAAATGAACATCCCTAGTTTCCACCTCCGTGCTTGACTCTACGGGATAGTGTTCTTGGGGTCATAGTCAGCATTTCTCTCCCTCCAAACACAGCGAGTCGAGTTAATGCCAAAGAGCTCAATTTTGGTCTCATCTGAACAAACTTTAAACGGGCCTGTACATGTGCCTTCTTGAGTAGGGGGACCTTGCGGGCGCTGCAGGATTTCAGTCCATTGCGGCATAGTGGGTTACCAATGGTTTGCTTGGTGACTGTGGTCCCAACTGCCTTAAGATCATTAACAAGCTCCTCTCGTGTAGTTCTGGGCTGATCCCTCACCTTTCTCATGATCATCCTTACCCCATGAGGCAAGATGTTGCACGGAGCTCCAGACCGAGGCTGATTGATGGTTATTTTGTATTTCTTCCATTTCCGAATAATCGCACCAACAGTTGTGTCCTTCTCTCCAAGCTTCTTGCTGTTGGTTTTGTAGCCCATTCCAGCCTTGTGCAGATCTATAATCTTGTCTCTGACATCCTTTGACAGCTCTTTGGTCTTGCCCATGGTGGTGGGAGAGGTTGGAATGGAAGATACAGATTGTGTGGACAGGTGTCTTATACACCTAACGAGCTGACATTAGGAGTAACTTCAGGACTAATCTGTCTTCCACATGGACACATAACCAATCTGTGGGAGCCAGAATTCTTGCTGGTTGGTAGGGGACCAACTTCACTCAATGAAATGCAAATCAATTTCTAACCTTTATATAATGTGTTTTTTTTCTGCATTTTTTGGTTGATATTCTGTCTCTATCCGTTAAAATAAACCTTCATCACTGTGTCTGTCACGCGACTCTGTTCCTCTTTCGGGCTCTGTCTTTACATTTATTTTGAAAGATGAAGCTCGCGATTATGGTAAGTGCCGTTACATTTCCGACGAGTGCTTGTGGTGTTCGGCCAATCAAAATGCACCGGGTTAGCTGGCCAATCAGAGCAGACTGCGCTTGTCGGAAGGAGGGACTTTGTAGAAAACGAAGTGTTTGAGAGAGGCGGGGCATAGAGGACCTACAATAATGTACAGTATTTGAAAAATAATGTGTTTTTTGAACATTAAAGCATGTCAACATATGCTGTTACACCAAATACACAAAATAATGATCTTTAAAAAAGCATCATATGACCCCTTTAAGCTTTTGAGGCTTTTTCCTGATTGTTAGTGATCGTGAAGTGAAGCGTTCTTAACCAGCGATGCTTCAACACAATTGTATCAGAAAAAGATTCATTACTCTAAGCTTTTTAAAACTGTTTATGATGTGGTCATAAAGATAAATAATACCTTCCTAAGTGTTATGTTCCATTAGAGCCAGTGGTTTCACATCTGGTTCTACAAATGATTCTTTGTTTTATTATATTTTATATGAATAATGGTCATTGTCAAAGTCATTCATCTTGTCTCTGACATCCTTTGACAGCTCTTTGGTCTTGCCCATGGTGGTGGGAGAGGTTGGAATGGAAGATACAGATTGTGTGGACAGGTGTCTTATACACCTAACGAGCTGACATTAGGAGTAACTTCAGGACTAATCTGTCTTCCACATGGACACATAACCAATCTGTGGGAGCCAGAATTCTTGCTGGTTGGTAGGGGACCAACTTCACTCAATGAAATGCAAATCAATTTCTAACCTTTATATAATGTGTTTTTTTTCTGCATTTTTTGGTTGATATTCTGTCTCTATCCGTTAAAATAAACCTTCATCACTGTGTCTGTCACGCGACTCTGTTCCTCTTTCGGGCTCTGTCTTTACATTTATTTTGAAAGATGAAGCTCGCGATTATGGTAAGTGCCGTTACATTTCCGACGAGTGCTTGTGGTGTTCGGCCAATCAAAATGCACCGGGTTAGCTGGCCAATCAGAGCAGACTGCGCTTGTCGGAAGGAGGGACTTTGTAGAAAACGAAGTGTTTGAGAGAGGCGGGGCATAGAGGACTTACAATAATGTACAGTATTTGAAAAATAATGTGTTTTTTGAACATTAAAGCATGTCAACATATGCTGTTACACCAAATACACAAAATAATGATCTTTAAAAAAGCATCATATGTTGCTTATCATATGTAAATTAAATTTTAATGGTTTAAATACATATTAATAATCAAAAAGGATGCCAAATCAATTGAATTCATAAAACTTTATCGATTTAATAATTTATTATATTTTAACACTACTAATTCCATATATCATGTTTTATTTTTTTCATAACTTCTGTGTTGTCTGTTTTAATTTCAGTTTTTTTTTAATGATAAAATACAAATTGTATCAAAAATGGTGGTAATCAAATGACTTTTAACACTACTAATTCCATATATCATGTTTTATTTTTTTCATAACTTCTGTGTTGTCTGTTTTAATTTCAGTTTTTTTTAATGATAAAATACAAATTGTATCAAAAATGGTGGTAATCAAATGAATGTATACAACTTTAACAATTTAATTCATCCTTTAAAATAAAATCAAATTCAGTTTGAACAATTATTTTCAATTTTGGCAAACAAAGTGCTGCCCAAAAGAGGTTTACTGTTTAAATTAAAACATTCCTTATACTGTTTTAATAAAAAAAAGTTTTAGAATCATGTTTACTAAGGATGAGCATGCAGACTGATGGGTGAACTGTAGGTCAAAGGTCATGTAAATGTGTATGTGGGGATGGTGAAAGGTCATAAAAAAAGCTTAATTCCTTCTGGTTTTGCATGCATAGAGAGTTTTGTTCTTGTCTTTGGTAAAGCTTTGCCAAGACTTTCTTTAACATTTTGATCCTTTAATGCAGCAATTATTCTCTAAGTGTGATTTTATTTCAGAACATGATTGCATGTCTTTCCCTTTCCTGTTCACTTCATAAGTAAACTGAAAGAAAAGAGTCTAAAGCCATTTGAAAAGTGGACTCATATTTTTGACTGTAGTGTAGTTTAAATGGGTAGAAATAAAAATAATCCAGTTATGTTGTATTTCATACAGGTTTATTTGACTGTCAGCTAATTTAGGAGAGTTTGGACTATTGAAACCAAGCTCTAAGTTGTTGGGCAGAAATAACAATCATGCTCAGCCTTTAGGGAAATGCTTTTCAAAGCTCATGGTGGGATAAGACAGACTCTAGAAATTGTTTGCACATTTAGTTGATCATGCTTCTGGCTTGAGGAACTGTTTGGACCGCTGAAGCAGCCATTTCTGATGGGGTTTTGGGTTCAATTTTCCTTGTCTTCTGGCCCCCTGAACTAACAGTGGCAAAGCTGAATCCTATTTTCCACCTAATTCATTCCTAGTTTTCCATCTATTTATAGAGGCAAACTTAAAAACATGTACTGCTTCTTTTTTCTTATAGAAGGATTTTGTGCAGAAAATGCTGATGAATTTTGAAGTGATGGCACAATCAAATAAACAAATTCATCGTTTTCCACAACACTTTTGGTGTTTTACTGGAGTTTTGCTATCTAATACAAAGACATTCAGACAATTGAAGCGTGACTGAAGTGTTCAGATACTTTTTGGGGCTATTATATTTAATTCAAACCATTTTGTGTTTTAGGTTAACATTACTTATTTTGTCACTGAGCTTAAAGTAAACCCTATATGGTTGATGGTGATATTTTTCCCCAAAAAATGCTGGATGAAAATGCTGAACTGACGCTTTTGTTTCTTTGTGGGACACAGGCTGAAAATGACCTCAACGAGCTGAAAGCATTGATGCATTCACCCAGCGCTATTGTGGTAAGAGCACCGGACTCACCCGCATGCACACTTAATACTGGAAGCTTCTGAAGCTTCATCTGGAACAAGTGTTGTAGAAAGACTTATTACCTAGCTAGTTTGTAACTAACTCTATGCTTAATTTGGTTGCACCATGTGTTCTTAAATAGTTCACCTAAAAATGAAAATTTGCTAAAAATGTTTCTTCATGGGAACAGATATGGAGTAATTTAGCATTCCATCACTTGCTCACCAATGGATCATCTGCAGTGAATGGGTGCCGTCAGAATGAGAGTCCAAACAGCTGATAAAAATATCACAATAATTCACACTGCTCCAGTCAAGTCAAGTCACCTTTATTTATATAGCGCTTTTAACAATACAGATTGTGTCAAAGAAACTGAACAGCATTAATTAGGAAAATAGTGTGTCAATAATGCAAAATGACAATAGTAAACACTAATTTTTCAGTTAAAAACAGTCCCATCATTGAATTCAGTGATGTCATCATCCAGCTCAGTTCAGTTCAGATCATCTTTGCAATCATTTGCGATCAAGTCAACGATATCGCTGGAAATGAAGTGTCCCCAATTAAGCAAGCCAGAGGCGACAGTCCATCAATTAACATCTTGTGAAGTGAAAAGCTGTGTGTTTGTAAGAAACAAATCATCATTAATACACTTTAACTGTAAACTGTCACTTCTGTCCAAAATTCAAGTCCATAATCCATAGTAATGCTTCCTCCAGTGAAAACGTTCAGTAAATGTTCATTTTCGGGTGAACTGTTCCTTTAAGGCAGAACATAGCTAGTGGGTTGTAAGCTCTATGTAAAGTAATGCACAATCGCATAATATGACATTTACCCCTAATGATCCAATAGCAGCCTTCAAATTAGTGAGCAGAAGTTGTTGCTTATCTTGTTAAGGTTGATTCTAACTTAATTTGTCTCTCATAATTTTCTGTAAAAATAAGTTTGATACTTTATCATGAAATAGCATAATTAAGTATTTTATATGTAAACAACATTCAAAAACTGTATTTGAAGTTAATAAATAAATACTGATACAAAAAAAAACATAAGAGAGTTGATTTTATTTGACATGCACATCAAGGATGCACATACTGTTTAGATCAGGTTTATTTTGAAGAGCCGTTTATTCACATAATATTCTGTCTATTTAAAATGTAAGTGAGTGTAAATGTCAACATCATATATTTCTAAAGAACTAGGTAAAGAAATGAACTTATTGATGTGATTCACAATCTGCTGTTTTATTAACTGATATTCTTCCATAAATATTTAATTTATGGCTAGAGTAATTTCAATGGTGCAACAGAAAAATTTGGCATATTATATTTTTTAACTTGGTGCCCCTTTATGTCAAACTAGTCTAATACTAGTCTTTCCTCTTCAAAAAAACCTGGCTGATTTAAGTGAAACAACTTAAAAAGAACCCAGTTGTCTTTGCATTCACACTGTCTGTGTCCTTAAAAGGGGTCTCAAAATTTGTGCCATTTTAGTTGTAACCATGTTTTTAGTTGTGACTGTTGTGTGAATGTGAAGTGGATTATTGAGCCATATATTTGAGGAATGATTGAGTCACTGAAGTGCTACTGAAAGTGAATCTTTCTTCTTTCTCTCTTCTAGCGGATGAAGTTTCTGCTATTACAGCAGAAGTATCTGGAGTATTTGGAGGACGGAAAAGTTCTGGAAGCTCTTCAGGTGTTGAGAGGAGAGTTGACTCCGCTCAAATACAACACAGATCGAATCCACGTGCTCAGCGGGTACTAAACACGACACATACATGCATGCACATTAACATACTCGTCATTATTGATCATTATAAACAACTTCTCTGTCTTGTGAGGTTTATTTGTTATTGCTAAAAATGCAATTTTGCTGTATAGATTTTGAATGTCATTTTTATTTCCAATTTCCCGCTATTGTGCTCTAAAGAAAGTGAGAATCATTTTGTGATTGTCTGTAATGGCTATCGATGGCTTATTGTCATTGGCTGTGATGGCTGTTGATGGTTCACTATGATTGGCTGTGTGTTTTAAGGTATCTGATGTGCAGTCACCCTGAGGATCTGAAGGCAAAGGCTGAATGGGAGGGAAAAGGCGCTGGGTCACGATGTAGATTACTGGACAAACTCCAGAGTGAGTGTACAACCACACACACACACATTTACAGAGCTATATAAGTGAGGACACACCATAGACTAGATAAGGATTTTATTAGGGATGCATAATATATTGCCATTATTTGTATAATATTTGTGACCCTGGAGCACAAAACCAGTCTTAAGTCGCTGGGGTATATTTGTAGCAATAGCCAAAAATACATTGTATGGGTCAAAATGATCGATTTTTCTTTTATGCCAAAAATCATTAGTATATTAAGTAAAGAGCATGTTCCATTTAGATATTTAGTAAATTTCCTAGCGTAAATATATCAAAACTTAATTTTTGATTAGCAATATGCATTGCTAAGAACTTAATTTGGACAACTTTAAAGGCGATTTTCTGAATATTTAAATTTTTTTTTTGCACCCTCAGATTCCAGATTTTCGAATAGTTGTATCTCGACCAAATATTGTCCTATCCTAATAAACCATACATTAATGGAAAGCTTATTTATTCAGCTTTCAGAAGATGTATAAATCTCAATTTTGAAAAATTGACACTTATGACTGGTTTTGTGGTCCAGGGTCACATTTATAAAAATTTATATTATTTGTTATTATTAAAATGTGATAAATATTATAAATCTTTAAACACCTAAAACTAGAGGTGGCACGATACCATTTTTTTCTGAGCAAAAGTTCTGAGTATTGGACAATACCGATACCGATCTGATACCAGCACAGTTTTATTTTTAATTTCTATACCTCAGTGTGTGTTGACCTGATCATCACTCTGTTGTGTATTACACACAATCTACTAAATATAGACAACTTCATTATAAAGAAAAATAACAAATTAAAAAATATATAATCATAATCTATGAGAAAAATACTATTATTATAAACTAGGTTAGTGGATAATTCAGCAGCAAAAGTTACTCTACAAAAATGATGAGTTCACAATAATTTTATAAAATCTAAACATTTAGAGAAAAAACATTATTTAGTGGGGGAAACAATAAAAGTAAATAGGTGTAATCTGGTAAAATGATACCGATATTTTTCAAGGCAGTATCGTCGATATCGATACCGATTCGATTCTTCTGAATTAAACTTTTAAATTTATGAAATTGTTAAATTTCTAAGAGTAAAATGGGTAATGATAAGCACTTAACTTTGTTTAAAACGCATTTTAACATTCAATTTGCCTTAATTGTAAATTATTAGGTTATATTTTTGTTTACACATGGTTCAAATAGGTTTTTTGTTTACACATGATTCAAATCTACAAATACTACAGTTGAACTACGGACCTACGGTCACTTTAGTAAAACCATGTTTCATTTTCATAAGGGACTGCCAGTGACAGGCTGTTGCATGCATAAACTGCAACCTTTTTATTCTGACAGTGTATGATTTCTATTAACATTACAGAATAGAACATGATCAATATTATCTTTCAATGTTCAATTTAAATAACTGTAATTGCACAAACTATGTAGGCTACAATTTCAGTTTGTTTATTGTGAAATAACTCTGTCCTTCTGTCCTCTGATAAGCATTGTTCAGGGCTGCCAGTCCCAAAAGCTTCAATGCTTTCTTATGATACTTTTGGGAAACGCAGCCCTGTTTGAATGCACTGTCAGAAGTGAGTGAACGCTCTCTGTGATAGATTGGTTCTGTCTTACAACATTTGCGTGTGTTCAGATGAGCAGGAAAATAGTTCTATCCTACACAATTACACGCTAACAAAGATTATTCGACCAATTCAATGCATATTGTATGCATTATTATTATTATCTTTTTGTTGAATTAACAAAATCACTACTAAATAAAACACACCTTTAGTATCGATATTTTTTGTTTGAGTATCGATACTTTCGATACTCG